CCTCTCACCTTTCCTCCTTGTCATGCTCCAGGCACTTCTTTTTGTTGTTTGTAAATAGTTTGGGGCAGAGGGTTCATCTGTGTACATGAACATATATATACAAGCTATCACATGTACCCAGGCTGCTGGATGCTTCCAGTATGTTGGGAGGCATTAGCAAACTAGATAATCCCTAAAGGCTTTCACCACCCAGCAAGGCAAGGCACAGTCCTATCCTTGACAGACTTGCTTCTCAGAGGACTGGTCCTAAATCAAAGACAATGCGAGTTCCTCATTCCATTATCTTTTTGTCAGAGAGGCTCTTCCAAAAGTTTACAGTCCCCCCTGCAAACCAATTTCTAAAGCTGCAGCAAGAACCACCAGTATTTGGATGAAGGGCTTGCAGATAATTTCTGCAAGTTCAAGCTGCAAGAACCCTGCACTGAAAGCGAAGTCAGTTCAGTGTTCAAAGGAGAAATGGAAAAAGGTATTTGTCACAATTACATTAAGACCTATTTGGTTGCCACTTGTTGGTCAACACCCCTATGCATAGTGTAGCTACTGCCACTAGCAAATGCTGAAAACTTGTAGTGGCAAAGTTCAAGAAACTTTTTGAAAGTTTGTCCTTTGACAGCAGATGGCTGTAGTGCTTCAGCCACTAGATGATCTGCCTTGTAGTGAAGCGTTCTTCATCTGGGTTTCCATGCTATCCAAGTAGTGAGGTTTCTTGAGAACATGCAGATTTTGTCGGAGACCCACTCAGTCAGTCAGAATTTGTAATCCCAGTGGCTGAACCATATGTGTTTTTACTCTGGGTATGACAAAGATCCAGTCCAGTTTGTGTCCATATGAGTGGCACTGGAGAGACTGCATAGGAGATTGGGGTTGCCTTGTATGTGAAACCTCTGCTTGTGAAGGCACTAGCTCATGTTTTAACTAGGACCTGTGCAAAATATGTCACAGTGTGAGAAAGGTGAAAAGATGGCACACACCTCTACTGATCCTGCCCTATATTAAGTGCTTTGCTTTACTGGGATTCCAGCTGTTCATCTGTAGTGGAAACATGGAGCTGAGTGAGTCAGAAGTAAGCTCTCCAGTGCAGAAATCTCCCGAGTCTTTAAAGACTGTGAATGTCTCCTTTGTACTTCTATCCTGCAGCTAGAGTCCGTCTGTCAGAAAGTTCAGTGACTGTCACAGAAGGTAGGGGTTCTTGCTGTTCATTTAGTTCCATGTGCACACATAACTCAAGAGGGTACTTTGAAAGGTAACAGATCAAAGATGCCACAGGACTTAGGCTGTGCATATTATGGTATAACAAACCTGTGGAACTTTGTGCTGAAGTAGACAGGGGAAACAGTGGTGTCCAAGAAACTTTTGAGAAATACAGAAATACAAAGAGAAGAGATAGGCAAGAGGTGAGCAGCACAACTCGTGACACCTGGTTTTACAGGGCTTTGAATTGTGTTGTTCCTTTCTGATTCTGCAGATGCCATACATACATTTCCCCTCAACTTCCCTCCTCCCTCAAGCCCTCAACTACCGTAGTTTGCCATGAACCGCATAAGACACTACATGTACTGCAAGCGAACATGCAAGAGCCCAAAGCTAGGCAAACACCGATTGCCCAGCTAGCTGCTGCCTCTTCGCTGCCGGGCAAGCCAAATAGCCTGCGCTTCCTTGCAGCTGCTGGCAGGCCAAACAAATAGCTTCAGGAGTCGCAGTCAACACCCAGGCCATGTCCTCTGGTGACCTGTTGTAGGAACTTGTGGTGTTAAAGCCCTTCAGTGCTTTGTTGGATGCGACTAAAATTGGCCAAGACTCAAAAGTTAGTGGGAGGGGGAGGACTGGCAGCTGACAGCAATCACAGAAGCCCTTCCCCAGGCTAACCATGACATGAGTAAGCGTGAGTCATACCATAAATTGATAAGCCTAAAATTATCTACAAGCATGAAAACCGTCTAACTGGCATTATGGGCTTTCCACTTACTCTGGAATTGGCAGATTTTGGCTTTGGGTACAGACAGGCTGACCGCTTGACTCTAGGCCAATAGTAGCTTGACACCTCCAACAGCACTTTTTGTATTTGGGCCTGCTGCTTTTGGATTGTCATTCAGCAGAAACCTTCTTCCCAACATTGTAGCCTCTAGGCATTACTGATTTGGTGCTGAAGCTGGTATTTTCTTCTTCTGGCAGCTCCTTGCCCTCTGGCATTGAATCCAAGCTGATGCTCCAGCCCCCTCCCCTCCGGCATTGTTCCCAGGATGTCGTGTCAGATGCAAAACAAATACTCAGTGGCTCAGAGCTCCTTGCATCCAAGAGAAATTGCACTTTCACACTGGCTCTGAACCTCCTCTGCAGAGCCAAAGCAAAATTAATGCGGAAACTAATCCCTTTGCCCATACCACGCACATCCTCTTCAATGGTGGAGCCAAGAAAGACTGAAGAGAATTAACCTTTTCTGTAAACGTCTCTGAGATAGGAAACACCCTGCTTTTCACTTTCTCTTCTTCCTCTTTCCCAGTTGCTGCATCAGGGAAACCAGTCTTCCCTGGAGCAGGAAAGCGCCTTCTTTCTCTTCGCACTACTAATGCTATGAGTTTATTTTAAGCAGAAATTTCATACCTATGCAGGATTGCTATAGCTAGTCTTGGCTCTCTATAGCTAGACCAAGTAGGTGGCAGAGCTTGTTAGAGTAACTGCTGCCCACTCAGAAGCAGCCAAGAATAGCTGTAGCCTCTCCTAGGGATCAAGTATACAAGTCTGGAGCTCCAAGGGTCCCTTCCTGTGACGCATGTGACATTTCCATCGTAGCCATGGGAATATGCTACTGTGTGAAACCAGACACAAACATCTGGAAAGGAGGGCAGCCTGTAATGCTGAACTGACAAAGGAAGAAAGGGCATTAAGGTTTCTGGTCTCCCTGACTTCCTTCTTTTCAGGTGTCATAAAGTCGAATACAGCCTTGGGCACTGTTAACTGGTCAGGCAGAACGCACCGCAGGCCTTCTCCCAGCTTAGGGAGAGCTTGTGCCAGGAATGCTCCCTCTTTCTCCTTTGCAGTGACTCATGAGCACATGTTCTCTTGCAGGCTCCTGGGCTGTCCAGCTAGAGAAGGGAGGCACTGTGGTGGTGCTGCGGAGCCTGCTGTGGCTGGGACTGACGTTCTACCATGTCCCAATGACCAAGCAATATGGCTACATCTACTTTGGCACTGGCGAGAAGAACTTAGATCTGCCCTTCATGCTGTGACTCCCCTGTCTGGGTCGAGGATTTAAGAACATTTAGATTTTATACTTAGGAGATTTTTGTTTACTGCTTGTTCTAATAAATGTGTGAAACCTCTGCACTTTGAGCAGGATTCTTTTGTGCCTGGACTCTGGCCCCGATTCTTTTCCTAGGACTTCACTGTGTGCAATCCTCCCTCAACTCCAGATTGAATTCCCTGTAATGTATCACTGTAGATCCTTTAGATACTAACAAATGGCATTTTCTTCCATGACGGGTGAAGCCCTAGGTCAGAAATCAAACCTAGGCCATCTGTCTGATTACAAAGACACCATGCTTACACAAAAACTAATTTGGAGACAACATGAATGCATGCCTGCTGTCACCCATGAATGACAAACAAACCCAGAGCTAGAGTCACAGTACAAAGCTGATGCAAACTGTAAGGGATCAGTACTGAACCATGAACTCTAGAAAGGCACATTGAAGAGAGTATTTTGTTTTCCAGATGTTAGGCTTCACCAAAATTAGAGGGGTCTTTCCAGCTCATGGCACTGAACTGTATAAAAAAAATTAGCTGTGGGCATCACCTTGTCTTTTGCAAAATGTGCTCATTCAGGTCCATCTCAAGGCAATGGTGTAGTCCAGTGACTTTTCCATGAGTAATGCTCACTGAGCAGAGCTCCCTGGGCTAGAAAACATAGTAACTTCTGTATGTAGGAGAAGAAAGAAAAATCTTTTCCTTTCTGAAGGGCTGTAGGTTTCAAAGCTGCATAAAACAGAGACGGTCAGCCAGAGATTTTATCTCGGTATAGTTAATGAAGTCTTGGCGCTGTCCCCCAAAGCAAAAAGATCTTGGGCAGCTCAAGGAGCTGAATGTAGGGCTTCCATTTCACAAAGTAAGGCTAAAAAGAACCATTATCATCTAATATGATTTCCTGGGTAATATAGGTTTATCCTTACCCTTTGTTCCTGTCCATGCTGATAGGTATTAGCAGATGATTCTGCTGAAAGCAATACAAGGTTAAGTGGCATAGTAGTACATAAAAATCTGTGTTGATTTGTAGCCCCCAGATAAATATCAAAGAAATGGAACCAAAGCAATAATGACCCTGATAAATTTAATGAGCCTTTCATACCAGGCCCGTAAGTAGCGCTTCTCAAGTAGCAGTGGTCAGTAGGTGGAAGGTGCATACACGTACTGTACAGGAAGAGAAATGGTGCCACCTTTTAGTTAGAGGATCGAAAATTATGCACATCTATTAGCCCCAAACTATGCCAAGAAGCAGCCATATCACTAACACAAAAGACTTATGGCAAATGTATTTGCAAGGGGAAAAAAAAACCAGGCCAAGTCATCAAGGATGTCAACATTCTGTATTTGCCAGACCCAGGAGTGAAGCACAAGCCAGGAATCCTTAAGGGGACACATAAGACGCACACATGCCTGTCTGCCACTGCCACAGGTGTTCTGCTGCAAATTATGCATAGTACAAATTACAAAAAAAATTCATTTCAGTAATCATTAACAATTTCTATTACTGCCAATGAAACATAGTGCTGCAGGAGTCATTTCCTTCCATCAGTACCACAGGTACAAAAGCCCAAATGAGGCAAACCTGAGTTGAAACACACATTAATGGGGAATCATCATTCACTGCTGGAAAAAGAAGGAAACATCCTTTTCCAAACCCAGTCATGGACCATAATGAAACAAAAGCCTTCAGATCCTTTCTGGCTTTGAGGTAAAAGTCTGTGCCCCCTGCTTTCTCCAAATCATTCTGCACATTGAACTCTGCTTTGCTGAATCTTGTATTGTCCTAGAGGAGCAGATCACAGCTCATTCACTGGAGACAATACAGAGTACTAATGACAGTTTTGGAATAAGAAAATTGGAGATACTGACAAACTTGCAAAAAAAAGCAGAACCGTGGAAAACAGCTGTGTTTACTGACTATGCCAGTTCTAGTGGTTTATGCCACTAAACTAGTGATTTAAACAGAGAGGCTTGTGTGTATATTTGACATTATCCTTCAGCAAAGGGTGTCCAACTGGCATGGGTTTTTTGCACCACTTAGGGCCCCTCCTCCAGATGGGCTTTGCAGATCTGACAGACCAGCGGGTCAGGTACCTGTCAAAACAACACAAATGCATTTCAGTTTGAGACTGATCACTGAGAAAAGGTTCCAACTGAAGCAGGAGCAGGGACTGTAGCCTTTGCCTCCCCACTCTTTCTAAAAGCAACAACTGTGAGCAGAGCTCCCTCAATTCAGAAGGGACCATCAGAAAGGAATTTTTGTTTGTTGTGGGACTTCTAAGCTGCACCTCTGTACTGAACCTACTGGCACCTGCTTGAGTTCCAGTCTCACAAAAGAAATCAGGTATAGTCTCCAGGCTGCTGGCAAGTTGTCCACCTGTAGCTAAACTGGAGAGCCAAATTCCTTCATTGCAACTAAGTCCAAGACTGAATGCATCCAGCCTGTATGGGAGGTATTATTTCAACAGTTGGCCTCAATAAGGTAAATTAATTACAAAGGCTAAACTCTGTGAGAAATAAAAGTCTCTAAAAAGGGATTTGTTTACTTTCAGAGGATAATCAGTTATTTCTTCTGCATGGGATGGGTTTCTGGCCTAGTCTTGTATTTTCATATGTTCAAATTTGCTTTAGTATTCTCTGTTCAATACTACTGCAGCTCGCTGGTGCAGGAAGTCAGAACCTACAATATGAGAGGTACCAGAATGGATTATCATCACAATGACAAACCTCTGAGAAGAGCAATGTCTGGCAAAAATCCTCTGCTTTTCACCATTTGAAGTTTTAGATTTTGCTTTGCAAACAGGCGCGGGATTTCAGATCTAGAATCAGTTACTGGAAATCTTACCCTGTGGCTGGGTGGCCTGGAGTTTTGTTAGGCTTTAAATCTTTTGCTACCAGTAGAGAGGGGAATAGAAGTCCTTAGAGAAAGAGGAGTCTTTTCAGACAATGAAGATTCAAAGTAAAACCCTAGCATAATCTGCACAAACAATGCTCCAACAAATTAGAATTTGGAACAGACTGATAAACTTTGTCCAGCGATGTTTGCATGCCTCTGTTGAGTAATCCCATGGTCTTAATGTAACCTCAATCAGTCATCCTCTCCCCAAACAGCTTTGGTACCTTTTATTTGGATCGTGCAAATTTGAGATATTAAGAACTTTGGACAGAGACCATGTAATGCATTTGTCTGAAGGCATTTGGCGCATTTCTGAGAACTACAAAGAAAGCTTGCTATGCCAGGCAGCTACAGACTGTGTAACAGCAGCCCATTTTCCTAGCGCTTTTCTTCCTCAGCAGTCCCAAACAGCACAGATTGAAAAATGAATCACATTTGGAAGTTCCTGCCACTGAAATGAAGCCACTTCCAAAATGCTTTACTTTTGCTTTGAGGAGTTTATGATAGTTAAAACACCTAGAAGCAACAGCAGGAGTGATTTCAGAGATGGTGTAGAGCAAGACCCAGCCACTTACTCTCCTAAGCATGCATTAAATTAGTCCCTTTTGACCTTTAATGTTATGCTAGTGCATTAGTGGAATCCCTTACATAACAACATCAGGACAGGAAGTAGGAGAGACTCTCATGTCTCTAATTTCACATGCAAGGGGAGTTCAGAGAGTCCAAACGCAGGTCCCGAGTTTGGAATCTGGCAAAGAACAATGGCAAGGCAGCTCCTTTGGGAGAAGCTGTAGGGGTATTTGACAGGCACATGGGGCTAGGTCCCTCTTTTCACATTCCCCTTGTTGCAGGGGGAGGTCTGTAGCACAAGTTTTGATATTGCAAGACTTCACTTACAGCAAAGGCGGAAAAAAATCCCAAATAGTTTTAATGCATCAGTGTGCCAAGTGCCGTTCTGGTCACGTGTCCACATGCTTACAGGAAAGTGCTCCCGTGATAATAAATGATCTCACTGGGAGAGAAGTGAATGTGTGAATGTGAGATACACATCAATGTTGTGTGCAGGTTTAGACAGACAGTGGCTTTTTAAGAAATCCCTCCGTTTCTGTGTGGGGGCTGGAAGCGCACACCCCAATTCTGCATAGGAAGGAGGATTTAGTAATGGCCTGATTTTAAAGCTTTTGTTATTTCTCTTTTGAGCAGGTCTAATCCAGCCCTCTGGTCCAGGCTTTTGGCTTCCTTTGGGGACTGCAGGCTGGGGCTTTTCATTGTTAGCTGAAACAGACATTTGGACGCTTTCCCTTCCTGGAGCACATTTGCTCTTAGTGCTTTTAATACTTGCTTTGTCCCAAACTCAAACTTGTCCTATTTTGTTTGCTGCCTTTTTTTTTTTTTTTTTTTTTTTTAACCTTGATTCAGCAGTGGCAAAAGCCTGATGCCTGGGAGCAGTCAGTCTACAAAGTTCCTTTTCCTCTTTGACTAACCCTGGTTCTCACTGTTTCACAGACAGATTTTTTTTTTTTCCTGCGAGTAAAAACAAACCACAAAACTCACATGTGACAGCTTCAAAGCCCAGCACAGGACTTTCCTGCAAACTCTGCTGTCCATGCAAGGTAGTGTACTCCCTTTTCTAGCCAAGTCACCCAACTGTCCATTGCATCCAACCACACGGTTTGTCTTGGGGAGTTTTTACAATAACCTACAAACACACAATGGCAGATGGTCTGAATTTTCTCAACCAGCTGAGGCTTGTCGGGACAGAGACTCCATGTGGATGCCAAATGCAGCTGGTCCACAGTCTCCTAACCAGTTATCTCAGTGTGCAGTGCTCTCACTCTGGACAAAGGGAACAGAACTGTCAATCTCAGCAACTGGCACCTCACCTTGGGGCTCTCCTTGCTCCCTTAAGTATGGTAGGATCCTGGTCAATAACCAGAATCCCTAGACTCCAGCTGCACAAATGAGTAGTTTGGATAAAGTGTGATGGGAATCCTGGTGGGATCTTCCTGATGGGAAAAGGCAAGATACAAACAGGATGGAAACAACTGTGGTTAGTCACCTGCAGTCACTGCAATCACCTACAATCCCTGTGGCACGTGGAAGTCTGTTTCCATGGATTTTATTCAGTGAGCAGGAGGGCCCCAAAGCCTTCCCACTCAGAGGCTGCCACTTAAGACCTAGGAGTAGGCACAGGGCTTCCACGTGCTGGGTAGGGGAAATGACCTACCCATGGGGCAACTGCAGTCCTGCATGTAGCCCAAGCAAAGGCCACGTTGGTGCAGTTCAAGGCTGAATTTCTGAACGCTCACCGAACTTTTTCAATCTGGCTTTTGTTTGGATTAAGAGCAGAAGGCAGAGGGCTACAGACTGCAGGAAGCACTTGATCAAAGTGCTGGCAAGACTGCCTCCTCCCTGCCACATCCCTTCCCATGACACCTCTTGGCTTTGCTCACCTGCAGCCACTCTAGCTCTTTGCTTTTCAATTCACATGCTATGCACAGCAGTTTCCATGCAGATGAGAGAAACCACATGCTGCTGGAGTGAAATGCTGATAGCAGTGACACCAGATTCTGCTCCCAGGTACAAGCTATGTCCACAGAGCCTGAGAACTTTGTAATTCACGAAGAGTTCATAAGGAACTTGCCTCTTTCCTAACACATAGCAACTTCTTCAGTTCAGGTGATGGAGGAGGGATTGACTTGGATATTATCCGTGCCAAGTTCTGTTCTTCTAGTAGGAAGCTGAAAATGGAGTGGCAGCTGAGAACTCAAAAATTAAGTAGTCCATAATCTACAGCACCTCTTGCTGACAGAGCCCAGACTCAGGGAACCTGTCACATCCCTTAGTCCTTTTAGAAAGGGAACAACTTCACAGCTTCAACCAATATTTTGGACCTGCCAGAAGAAAATGAGTGCTATATTCACATTAAGAGAGCATCTAGACGCTGGCCTGAACTCAGTGACTGTTCTGGATAGTGTTAGTCCACACTATCCATGTGACAACTTCCATGCTGGAGAGAAAACTGCTGAGCTATTCAGGTTTCCATTCCTGAAAGCAAGGATAGAAGTCTGACCTGCAGCTGTGCTTGACTGTTTCCCAAATGGTTCTGGTGTGTGGTAGCCTGCACACACATGAATCTGGAATATGAGAACAGTCTGTCACTCTGCACAGTGCTGGTGAAATCCCTGAGAACTTCCTCAGCTTCATGGGCTAGTGAAAATATTTTGTTTCTGCAGCACTTAACTGGAACATGCCAGGCTGGAGCACAAACGGATGCAGAAATAACAGCAGGAAGTTATGAAAGGGAGAATTCAGGCTGAGGATGAGGGAACAATCCTTGGCTGCAAGACAAATTTGCTTGTGGAATCATCCCATGGAAACAGTGAAAGCCCCAGACTGGGCCAAACATGAGAAAATGAACTGCAGGGAGTAATTCTGCATTGATGGGGGGTGAACTCCAGTGGTTTTCCATGTCCAAGTTCTGCAGGCAAATGATATGGAAGAGGGGGAGAGGACAGTAGACTCGAGTTTATGGATGATGTGGGTACTCCAATGGCCATATTTCTTCAAAAGCACCCATAGCTAGTAAAGTAGTTAAGTGATAACATTTATGAGATATTGCTGTCAAAACCAAATCAGGCAGAACACAAAAAGGCAAAGAACTAAAGTCCAAGAAATGAGAAATATCATGGTAAGTCTCACCTGGACAGTGTCCCAACTTGCAGGGGGTAGAAGAGAGAGCTGTGGAGCGCTCCCCATTTGAATTCTGACCACAAGGTGTTCTCACACACCTCCTACCACCTCCAGGACCACACAGCTTGGCTTAAACTAGCATTTCACTTTCACATTATACCTTCTTCTGCAGTTCTCAATCTCCTCCTCTATGTTACATTACATCTTGGGTGGGTGATCTCATACTGTGCTAGATACTCAGATGACCAAGAATAAGGTGGGATCTGTGGGCCGCTACTTCCCAAAGCATTCTGCTCTTCCTCTTGCATTCCAGTAGTAGAAACAGGATCAGGAGATGGGGGGGGGTAGGGGGAGGCCAGCTGCCAAGAGACCCAGTGCAAAGCAGGGAAATTCTTACCTCTCTGCAGAGAAATCTGAGGCATGTAGGAGGGAATGTCCAACGTTCATACAATGGAGACAATAAAACCACTTCAGAAAACAGAGCAGGCATTCTGCTCTTTGGAAA